GTTGCAACCCATGGGTTGAGAACCGCTGATCTAAAGAGATTTACACTGGGGAAAATAGAATGCAGATGGAAACAATGCATTTCTAATGGATATTTTATTCAGCCATGAGATATTATAATGTACCCAATAGAACTACAAAAATTATGGCATCCATTGTATTTTAGGAACTGATTTAATATTCAATTGATTCTCCAGATGGTACAAGAGTGAGTTTTTCTAGGAAGGTTATTTACAATGCATCATATCTTGTGAAAAATATATCCTTAATCTGTTTTGCCTATAGTTCTTAAAGGTTTTATGGCAAACAGCTAACAATTGGTACATTGCTAATAAAAAGAGCAATAGTGTAGAACAACAAATTCTATTTTTAATTGATATTCAAAATTTCCTTTCATACAGGAGAAAGTCTCAGTTGTCTGCTATTCTGAATTCAGTTTAATGCTTCTGTATCCATATGTGTGTATATATATATGTATACACACACACACACACACACACACACACACATTTCTTGTTTTTCATTGCTTTTTCAATTTGTTTACCCTTTACTGTAAAATTAGGTGGGAGTTAAAATTTTGGATCATAAATTTTAAAAAGAGTTTTATTGGCACATAATCCACATTATATATATATATATATATACAAACTAATATTATTCTCAGGCTCAAAATGTTCATGGCTGAAAAGTAATTAAACCTGTATGAGTCCCCAATAAAATGATTAAAAGGAAGTAATTAAAGAAATCTAATATTTGGCAATAAGTAACTTATTTTTCTTCTTACAACTAATGTTGATTCTTTTTATTTATAAGATGATATATTTAATTTTCGAATATATATATATTTATTGGAAAAATTATTTTAAAGATTATTGTTGTACAAGTAGGCTGATTAATAATTTAAAAGTAGACATTACCGAGTTAACTCAAACCCTGTTTTTTGTTCTCAAGAAAAGCAAGACAATGAAGAGATTGTAATTTTTTAGGATTCGAAAATAATATTCTGTGGATCGTCAAACTCCATATCAAACTCATTTCCATTGAGTAGGATTCATAGCAACTCTGTAGTACAGAGTAGAATTAGCCTGGTGGTTTCCAAGACTGTAAATCTTTACAGAAGTATGAGCAGTTGGTGGTTTTGA